TTCCCTCCCCCCCCCCCCCCCGCCCCCCCCCCCAAGTCCTTCAGGCATCCCTGCACAACGGGGGCGAGGGCGACGAGGCCAAGCTGATGTGCATCGTCCACGGGCCCCACGGGCTGGGGGGGGGGGCGGGGGGGGGGGGGGGCCGGGGGGGGTGGCGGGGGGGGGGGGGGGCCGACACCAAACCAACCCCAAGGTCCCTCGTGGTCCAAAGGACGGGGCCCGCCCCATCGACCCCCAGCAACCACGGTTGTGGAGACATGAAACCAAGCATTTAAAACACAACAAAAAAAGAAGCCGAATTTTCCACACCAGCCACAAAGCCGAGACACAAAAACAACCCCCAAAAAAAACGCTCACCATCAAGCAGGTCAACGAGGCAGACTTCGGCGTCTACGCATGCGCCGCCCACAACGCCCTCGGCGAGAGGCAGAGCGCGCTTCAGGTCACAGGTTGGATGGGTGGGGCGGTGGGGGAGGGGGAGAGGGGGGGGGTGGGAAGGGATGGGGGATGGGAAGGGTTGGAAGGGGTGGGGGAATGGATTGGTTGGTAAGAGTGGAAAAGGGGGCAAAAGGGAGGGCGGGAGGGGATGGAAAGGGGTGGTAAGGGGAGGGGGTTGGGTGGTTGGGGAGGGAGAAGGAGGGAAGGGAGAAGGGAGGGAGGGAGGGCTGGGAAGGGTGGGGGATGGGTGGGTGGGGAGGGAAGAAGGGGAAGGGGGAGGGGGAGGGAGGGAGGCGAGGGGATGGGAAAGGGGTTGGGTGATGGATGTGGGAGCGGGAAACGGAGAAGGAGGAGGGAGGGAGGGGATGGGGAAGGGTGGGGGATGGATGGTTGGGAAGGAGAAGGGATGAGGGAAGGGAGGGATGAGGCGACAGGGGCGATGGAGGTAGAAGAGGAGAAAGAGAGGGGGAGGCGTTGATAGAGAGGGAGAAAAAGGGAAGAGAGAGAAGAGAGATGAGAGAGGGGGGGGGGTTAAGTTAAATGATATTGATAGTAATAGATACGATAGTTAATAATGGTACCAATGCTTATGATAATAGTAATAATTATGATAGTCATGTTAATAATAATAATTTTGATAATAGGAACAAGAATAAGAATAATACAAAGACCACTACTGCTACTAATACCAATGATAGTAATAATAGTAATAATAATAATAATAATAATAATAATAATAATAGTAATAGTAATAGTAATAACAGTAAGCCGTGATATAGTAAATAGTAATAATTAATAGCATTAGTAAATGAATAGTACAGAAAATGTAAAAAATAGTAATAGTAATAATAGTAATAGTAATAGCAATGATAATAACGACAACACCAACGCCAGTAGCACCAAACGCACAAACCCAGAATCAAGCGAAGCAGCCCCCCCCTCCCCCCCTCCAGCCCGCAGACCTAACCCGCCCCCCCTCCGCAGGCCAGGCCAAGATGCCCACCTTCACCAGCAGCCCCGCCGGCGGAGAGAAGGAGTCGTACACACTCACCTGGGAGACAGAGAGCTACTCGCCCATCATCCGCTACCGACTCAAGTACAGAAAGCAAAGGGTAAGGAGGGTGTCCTACAAGGTCTTGCAGGGTCAAACAGGGTCAAACAGAGTCCTACAGGGGTTTTAAGAGTCCAACAGGGTATTTCAGAATCCTACAGGGTTTTACAGGGTCCTACAGGAATTTTTTCAAAGTCATACAGGGTTCCTGGGAGTCCGGGAGGTAGGACGGTTCTAGCGAGTCCTAGATAGTCCTAGATCATAATGAGTCCTAGAGTCATAGAGTCAGGGTTATTGAGAGACCTAGAGAATGAGGGATTTCTAGCGAATCTTAAAATTCAAGAGAACCTCAGAAATTGGACCCAAAATAAAGGAAGACGATTTATGCCATAAAAAAGATAGTTAGAGTTCTGTAATCCCCCGAAATCAGAAAGAAAAAAAAAATTAAATCAAAGGAACTCTCAAACTCAGCCCCTCTGCCTTTCCACAAAACCGACCTCTACCCAACACCCCACCCTAAACGGAGTCTGCCCCTTCATTGACCGCAGTCGGCCCTCCCACAGGCCAACGTGACCAGCCAGGACCCCAGCGGATGGGACGTTCAGAACTACACCCCCGAGATCTCCCAGGACATCATCACAGGGCCTCTGCACCGCATGAGCCACCCGATCGCCAGCCTCGAACCCGCCACGGACTACGAGGCCAAGGTCGCCGTCGAGAATAAGTTCGGCTGGTCCGAGGAGTCCGACCTGTTCCACTTCTACACGCGCAAGGGTGAGCTAAGTCGGGGGTTGCTTCTAAGGGGGGTGATAGTCCTGTATTATTATCATTATTATTATTATTATTATTATTATTATATTATTATTATTGTTTTTGTTTTTGTTTTTTTTTAGGTGGGGGAGGATGTGTTTTTTGTTTTATTTTGTTTTATTTTGTCTCGTTATTTTAGTTAGCTTCTTTTGCCTTTTTTTAAAAGTTGAGTCAAGTTTATATGTTCGTAAAGCTAAGTGT